TTTCTGAGTTTATGTTTTGATCTCTTTTTAAATTTCAGTTCAGCCTTTTCTGCAGTTTTGTCAAAAATCATATTTATATGTTTTACTGCCAGATTGACTCCTTCTTTACTGTGAGTGTATGTGGTGTCCAGAAAGCTGTCTAAAAGTGTCTGAATTATGTGGTCTCTGATTGCTTTCTGGAACTCTTCCATGCTGTTTTGGGCCCATCTGTATGGCCTTCTGATGCTGTACAGCTTACTGGGCTGAGTGTGTGCAGTGCTGTTAGTCTCTGTCCTTTTAATGAACACAGTGATTTGGCTGTGGTCAGACAGAGGGGTTAGAGGTTTAACAGTGAACGCACTGAGAGAGAAAGGGTCTAAATCTGTTATCTGTAGCTGTTTGATTCCACTCATCTGTGTAGAGTTCTGTGGAGTTTGGAGGGCTTCAGCGTAGCTGCGCTGTAGGACGCTGTCCTGGGAGAGAGGGGCTGCTCGAGGTGTGGGTTCGGATTGATGCTGGTGTGCTGGTCTGGTTGGTGGTGGGCGCTGAGCTAGTCCAGATGATACTATATTGCGAGCTGGTGTGGTTGGATGGGGCTGTAGTGTTGGTCTAGATGGTGTCACTGGGTGAGCTGGTCCAGTTCGTGGGGCATGATGTGTAGTTTGAGGTGGACTGCGCTGTCCTGGCAGGTGTCGACCACTCAGGAAGTGTTTATAGATGACTGGGCTGACAGCTGCATATCTGTGGCGGTGTTGCTGCGGTTTTAGGGACTCTGCTCTGTGTTGCTGTACTGTGTAGGAACGCCATGTGCAACATCTTTAAGTGTTCTGGCGAATTCCTTTATCATGTGCTTGTTTAGGTGCACATGGTCGTAAAGGTGGTAGGGGGTGATGGTGGAGTGGTGGGCCAGGTGCACATTGGGCAGGAGGGCACATCCTCTAGAGATGTCTGCGTTGACCCTCTGGATGGTGGCAGGGTGGAAGTCCTTGCGGGGCAGCAGGGTAGAGATGATAATTTTGGCATTAGGAAAGGATTCAGCAGCTCTCTCTGCTACTCTGCACACCAGTCCTCCGACTCTCTCTTGCTCCAGTCTGAGGTCATTGGTGCCAGTGTGGATAATCATGTATTTGGGAGTGCCGAGTTTGGGGTCAGAGAGTATTCTGTGGGCATCTCTTATTTTTGGGCACCATATTTTCAATGTTGTTTGACCTGGGAAGAGCTCGTCCTCTTGTAGGAACTTTCCATTGGAGTCGATCAGAATAGCGACATCAATGTCTTTTCCTGTAGACAGTCTGCTGCTGTGCTGCTCTGCTGTTTCTGCAGTTTCCTCTGCTGTAGGGTTCCTCACCTTTTTGGGCGGGGCTCTAGGGCAGCTCAGGATGGTCTTGCTGTGTGATGGGCAGATTTTGAGTGGTGCTGGGAGAAAGCTGGGGAGCAGTATGGGGGGTGTTCAGCTGTTTAGTGGGTCTTTATTGTGGTGTCTCTCTGGCGCAGCTCATCTTTGAGGCTAACAATCTCTCTTTTCAGTTCCTGTTTTATTTGTTCCAGTTCTTGTGTTGTGTTGACTCTAACATTTGTCAGTTCATTTTTCAGTGCTTCCTTCTCCTGTAGCAGGTTTTCTATGTCCCCTTTCAGCTCCTGTACAGACATCTTTAGCTGGTTTGTGGTCTGGCTGAGCTGGTCTCTGTGGAAGCTCATGTCTGTGCTGGTGCTGATGTGGGTGTGAATGTGCTCCCTCAGTTCCACCAGCTCCACTTCCAGCAGGGAGAGGCTGTTCCTGATCTCAGCTACAGTGGAGTGGAGGCGTGGACTCCAGTGCTGGCTGAGGGGGTGCTGTGTTCTACAGAGACAGTGGGTTGGTGGGGGGGCTCTGTTTCTCTCTCAGTGTGTAGTGGTTCAGGCGTGGGGGCTGGACTGTGGGCTTCTGCGCTTTCACATTCAGCTAGAGCTGTGAGACGGGGAAAGGCCCCTTCAAACTTCAGCAGTGCCTCCTCGCTGCCCTGCACCATCACTGTACCGTTCTGGTATAAATTCACTGTTAGAAGCCGATTTTCAGAGTCTTTTTCGGCATCCACAAAAATATATATTTGACGGCCTTTGCAGATCCCTCGTTTTGTGGTGTGCGTGAAGTATTTACGTAGAGCTGAATGCCATGCTGTACTGCGTTCAGTGTAAAAGAGCAGGTTGGTGGTGGTTCTTTTCCCTTTGATTATACTGCAGTCTTTAAACAGAGTCTCCGGGTTTTCTCTCTGTGTTTTCTGTTTATGCTGCTGTCTGCTGCTCTCAGAGCGGATCTCTGTGGGGAACTCAAAAGCGTGGGAGAGCGGAGCTGCTGCTGCCATTGCAATACAGTGTAGCAATTTTTTGAAAAATGCCAGCAGCTCGGTCGGCCAATCAGAGGAGGTTTACAGTAACTGTCAGATTAGCAGCCTCAGTAAACTTAGCGCATTTAGCAATGTCTGGTCAGTTTTTCTTTTTCTTTTCCTCTTTATATTACCTACAACCGTATGGTATTAAGCTCTACTGTCTATAAGTCTTTTCTGGTGTTCTTAAAATGTTTTTCTTACCCCTAATGTGAGGCAGAGTTCTGGGGCTGTCTGAGTTCAGACTCCGGGCGTCACTCCGCTCCTGTTTTCTATCTGTTTAGTCCCTGTTTCTTTCCTCTGCTGTTCCTTAAAACATCTTTAAGTTTATTCCAGTAGGTTTGTAGGTCCCTGTTCAGCTTCTCTTCTTTTGTCTCCTATCCTCCGTGCCTTGGTGTCCTTTTCTTCCTGATCCTGGTCCTGGTTGTGTTTGTCTCTTGTGCTAACCGCTAACGGCTGTTCTCCTAGCTAGTCTCCTTTTGTTTTATTTTCTTTGTTTTTCTGTCTAATTACGTTAACATCAGTTCAAATTCATATTTACTATTGATAATTTGTTTAGATGTTGTTTGTTTTCTGTGATTTATCTCATTTTAAAATAAAAAATCATAAAAGTTTTAAGAGCTCATATTAAACACGACTCTAAACCATCTCTCGCTCTCTCTCTCTCTCTCTCTCCCTCTCCAATATCACTATCAATATCAGAATATCAGACGTGACGGCGTGAGATAAATGTGAAAACTTATCCACAGTGCACCGTGTTTGGCTCAGACAGGATCCTACAGAGCCAGTACGCATTTTATCAGTATTTTAGCTAATTGTACCCCTTTTGTATATACTTGCATTTTTCACTATATGTTTTTGTAACAGTAGAATCTCTCCTCTTCTTTAAAGGCAGTAAGGGGTCTCAGCCCCGGGGGAGACTGGGTCCAGTTTAGTCCACTATCAACGGTCTTAATGCCGCTCTGTTCCCCAGGTAAGATAACTTTAGACACTTTTAGATGAACACGGAGTTTAGCTGTAATAATTTGCAAAATTTGATAAACTGTCACACTGTGGTGGAGAGTTTTGTGATTTTATATTTTTTCAGTTTATTCATATCTTATTATTTCTGTTCAGTGGTTAATTAGTTAGCTAACTAGCTAAGCTAAAACTTCAGTAGACCGATTTACGTTATTAAGTCTCTTGCCGCGTCACAAACTAACATACACAGTTCTGCACTTCACCGATACAGTAATGAGTGCACTTCTAATAATATATGCGCTATTTTAATACACTATTTAGTGTGTTAGTTTGCGGTTTGGGACGGGGCAACTGATTATCTACCAGAATAGCGGTTTCAGACAAACATACAAAGTAACTTATCTCCCATGTATAACTCTCATTACTACAGGGCTGTTACACTACGTAAGCTATGAAAACCAAACTGAATCATCAAATTGGGAATTAAAGTTCCAGCGCTGCTCTAAAAACAACCACATTATCATAGACTGTCGGTTTAATCAGGTTAAATTTTGTCATACTTAGTAAAAAAAAATGAGGACATGCTCCGTGAACAACTTTAGAAAAAATTTAGAAATCCAGTTTACCTTAATAAAAGTAGCTTTAATCAGGAAATACCTTAAACTTTGGCTTGGAAATGTTTAATGAGCAGCACAGCAAAGATATAATCAGACACTGGAGCTGCTGGACTGTTGAATCTCTCACTGTCTGATCTAACGCTGCATCTCAAACACACTGCTGAACTTCACCTACTACACTAATCATTAATGAGTGCACTTTTAATGGGACTGCACTATTTTTTACACACTATTTAGTGAGCTTGTATGCTTTACGCTTTAAATCGAGTTTTAAACCGCGTATTCGCAAAAAAAGGTGTTTTACTGCCTTTATTGGATCAGTTGTGGCTTTATAATTTCATAACAAACTGCCACTGCACTGCTGAATAAACTTGAAGTTGGCATTCATTTTAATCATTATTATTATAAGAGTTTAAAGAGTAATGTATTTATACTAACGGTGTAAACATAAAACAATTTTATAGCAGTTTAAACAAAAAAAAAAAGTAAGGAGTCGGGGGACAGAACACATGCTTTTACAAAATGGTGGCAGCACAACTGCGAGACGTGATCATAATACTATAAAAAGAACCATGAAGAACTGAGTGAGAATTTTGAATCTAAATCTTAAATTTTAAATCTGACTGCCTCACCTTCCTCACTTGGACACCTACAGATTATACAAGAAAATCTACCACACTGAAAAGGTAAGGTACAAACTAAAAACTCCTTAAAAGTGATTGCATTGCTAACTGAACATTTAACTAGCTAAGTCTTCTGTCTTCGGTGCCGGAGCTTTTCTCTTTTCACCTGCGGGTTGATAAAATTTAGATTGTCATTGATTTAACATTTTATTATATGCACCTTTGAAATATTAGGAACAGTAACACTGGTGAATTTGCAATAAGCTCACCTCTTCTTTCTGCTGGCAGGCGTGAGGAGGAAGAGGAGGATGCACTAGGAGAGGTGGAGAGTGCACTGGCACTGCTAATACAGCTGGGGGTTGTCCTGGAGGCCGTGGCGGGGTCAGAGGTCCCTCTTGCTGTTCCAGCGGTGGAGCCCTTGGTGGTCTGGGCCCTCCTCCGTTGTGCCCTCTGCTCCTTCACCTCTTCAGCCTCCCTGTCCATGTCCTCCTTCTGCCACAGGAGTCTCTCATACTCCTCTGCAGTGATGACCCGAGCCTCAACAGGAATTCTTCTAATGGTCTTCTTTTGATAGTCGACCCGGGTCAGGACCTCTGCAAGGTCAGGCTGGATCAGTCCTGCTGCCACCAGGGGATGATTCGAAGGGGCTGAGGGTCCTGGAGGGGGTGTTTGGGTGGATGCGGAGGCCCCCACTGGAGAGGAGGATGATGACGCCCATGACTCCTGCGGGGTGGTGGTGGTGGTGCCGGTGGCGCTACTCCTGAGGCCGGAGGAGGGCATGAGGCGGCTTGAATCCACAGCACGTGGATTCAGAGGAAAGATGCCGCACTTCCTGAACCCATCCACCACAAAGCCCCGGTCTTTCAGCCGCTGGTACGGGTGGCAGAAAACTTTGGCAAATTCCGTCTTATTTACAATGTAAGAATGTTTAAAATGGCAGAGATTGCCAGCCACCTTGGCAAACTCTGTCTTTAAAGGGCCAAAGAATCCCACGTCCAGCGGCTGCAAGATGTGGGAGCAATGGGGTGGAAGGCACAGGAGCACAACACCTTCCCTCTTTGCCGCCTCGATGACCTCTGGTGTAAGGTGGGATTTGTGGCCATCGAAGATAAGGAGCAGAGGGCGCTCCTTCCGAGCATGGCGGATGAAATGCTCAAACCACCGCTGGAACAAATCACCGCCAATGTACCCCGCCGGAGATTTCCCATAAAGAGCGTTGGGGGGTCCTCCTCGGGTGTAAGGGCCTCCAGGAAAATGTTTGGCAAAAATAATAAAAGGTGGAATGTCCTCCCCAGCTGCATTGAAGCAGGCCAGCACGGATACATGGTCCCGGGTGCCGGGGACCTGCTGATAAGCATGTTTGGACCCCCGGGGTGTCAGTACTTTGTACCTGCTGCCATCCATCTGGAAGCCAGTCTCATCACAGTTGTAAATCTGTGATGGCTGGTTTAACAGTCCATGCTCTTCCAGCGTGGATGACAGCAGGTCAAAGTACCTCTCCACCGTCTCCTTCTTGGCACACGCTTCCCTCCCTCTGTCGATGGTATCAGGGGTCCTCATCGAAATGTCATCAGCGTGCCTCCTCCGAAAACAGTGCCACCACTTCTTCCCCAGTGGTGGCACATCTTCATTAGGGCTCCTCTTCCTCCTCACTGCGTTGGCGTACGCCAGCAGCCGCGCCTTAGTGAGGGGGAACCCATGCTGCGCACAGTAAATGCAGTACTGCACCAGAGAGCGTTCGTCCTCTGGTGCCAGTAACTGCTTGCGGCCTGTGCGACAGCCATGGGTCACCCGTCCACTCACTCTGTCCCCCAAGGTGTTGCGGGGGACATTGAAGAGGCGCGCTGCATGGCGTACAGCCATGCCAGCAGAAACCTCCTCCAGTGCCCGCATCATGTCCTCTTCATTCCACCTTTTTCTTTTTGCCATTTTTCTGTGAATATAAAAGTTGTATTTCTAGCTTTTTTTCTTACTTTTTAAAGACTATCACTTTATTATTATTATTATTATTATTATTATAAATATTTTATTATTAGCTATAATTTAATATCAATCATCACCATTTTATAAAAATAATAATAGTAATAATAAAGTGATTGTTATTAATAAAACTACTACTGCTAATAATAATGATAATAATAGATATTGTTTGTAATAATGCGTGTTTTTATTCAACTTGATTTGCTTGTTTATGGAACACAGCTCTTTGCTGCGTGTCTGATTGTGCCAGTCAAATGAGAAATCGCGTTTACGCATCATTCCTACCAGATTCAATGGTTTACAATGAGATTAAGTTTGTCCTCTGTGGGCACCCTTACGCCATATACGTAACCCTACGATGGCGGCAAACTTTACCTCAGAGCAGAGAAAGCTAACTGGTAAGATAACTTTTTACACAGACGAATATCCATCGCGGTATGAAAATGAGTTGTGTGATCCATGCGGTTTTGTACACGCAGAATTACAACGTTATTAGCGATACTTCAATATTGTTTTCAGATATGATTTTTTGCTAGAATAATGTTTAAATGCCCTTATAAGGCGGGAGCTTACGGGTTTTGAATTTCCCCAGAGCGATTGGCGGAGAGAGAGAGAGAGAGGAAATGCGCAATAGGCGGAAGTGGCCGATGTTAGGGGTAGCTACATTACATAGACAACATCCAGACAGGCTAAATTAGCTGGCGGCTAATGTATTCAGATAACCTAAACGCTAACGGGCATTTTAAACCGTCCTCCTCCTCCGCTGGCGATCTCCGAAACTGGAAGAAAACAAATAATAGGCTCCGGTGGCCGCAACTGCGGCCCCGGCCACGAACAGCAGGGGTCGCAGGGACCTGAACTCCGCCACCCGAGACAGGAGAGTGGGTACGCCCGAGACGGGGGTCTGCATATCCGAGGAAAAGTGGGTTTTCAGAGCACAGAAAAGCACAGCTTGTCGCCAGAGGTGTCGGTAAACGACTGAAGCTCAACGTTCCTTTCTCAGCGCTTTAGACCGCATTGGGCTCCATTTCGATGGAGTCATAATGAGGTTTAAATTAGAAACGCAAACTTGTTTACAGATGCTGGGTTACCGCGCCGCCTGTGGCAGCATTAAAGGGGAATTTCACGATTTTCTGCCTGTATAATTAAATTGTTAAGATATAAACAAAGTTTTTAGAGGGGTTTGAAAACTTAACTGTTGAAAAAAATTAAACAGGACTAAAATAAAATCAGACACATATTCTTGTTATTGTTTCTTTAAAACAGGGGTGTCAAACTCAGCTATTAAAAGGGTCATATTAAAAAATCTCAACAAACCTGTGGGTCAGAGAACGACTTTGTTTTTATTTCATTTATAATTAATGTTGTGCTGTAAACCGAACTGACCAGTGTTTATTCAGAATACGCAAAACTTAGCAGTAAAGTATACACACTTGTAGCAGACCTTGAAATATTGCATGAATGAAATATTCTAAGTGTAAATGTCCCCACGTTGTGAAACGAGCTAATATTAATAGAAAATTAAAATACTTTTGCGGGCTGGATAAGATTGTGATCTGGCCTAATCTGTGTTTAATCTTGTGTTTAATCTTGTGTTTGACACATGAGCTTTAAAGTGTGCTGAAAGAGCTCATGTAAAAGACAACGAGTCCTCAGTATCTAACATTGCTCATGTTACTCAAACCTCCTTATTAGACATGAAAACCTGCTTTAACGTCGTGTGGCTAAACTATTAATATAAACGTGATTTCCAGAATACAAATTTTGTTCACTTTATGTAGGCAAAACATACAGAACACATACAAAATGTATAATTCATAATTCAAGCTCAAGACTTAGTGTCACACATGCTGTTCTTCATTAAAACTGAAGGCCTCTGACAAAACATGGCACAGATTTCAAACACTGAAACATTTTTAGTGACCTAAGTGGCTTATTTTGATACTTAGCTTCAGTCATTATTTGGTATTTGTTCTCTGTTAATGTTACACAACAGAACTTAACCTGACTTTGTCAGATTACTTAATTACCCATAAGCTTTTTAGTCCATTAAAAAAATATTTTTTTTTTATTTAAATACATAAATCCACTTGTATTGAGAGATGATGAGTGTTAGGATTAAATCAGCCACAACTTCTTTATTACTTAACTGATTTTCACCAGATTTGTTTTGTTATAATCCTCAGATTATCGATTAATCTAGGCTGCACAGACTGCTCTCGGTAGCTTTTATTTCTTTAATAACTGATCGTGCTATTTAGCCGACCAGACAAGCAGAAAAATATTCAGTCTGCACCTGATGTTAAAAACCGAGTTTAGCATGAGCTCCGGTAGAAACATCAGCAAATCCATCACTGTGAAAATCACTTCTAATCCTAATACACATAAAAATAAAATACCCCCCCTAAAATACAGTAAGAAGGACGAAGCTAAAGTTGGCTTCCTATTTGCCAGTTTCTTGTTCGAATTTTCCCGTTCCACCTTAAATGTTGCAACAGTCACTTTCTGGTGCCTATAACTGCACCATTTAAGGTGGAACGGGAAAAATTGAATAAGAAGCTAACCTCAGGTTCATGTACGAAAGTGCTAACATTAATCTATTATGAATATCTATACGGATTAAGGAATGCTATAATTTAATGCTACAAAGCAATAACCATCATTGTGAATAAATAACTACATCAGGTTAAGATCCCCTGAATAGACTATTAAATGAAATAAGCTTAAAACCAGAGGAAAAACAATCACATCAACAGGTTCTCTGTTCCTCACCAACCACACGGACATATCTACACATAAACATCACACAATGATGAGTGTGGATCTCTGTGTTCCCTCCGTTATATAATCCTATCCCACTTTCTGAGTGCAATATTATTAAAATAGTATAATTTTGGACAGTATGTTTCTTAAACTGCCGCTCTGCGCTGTGCTCTTATGCCCATATAAGGAACTCTGGGTCTAAAAGGAATTTCTCTATGAGTAGAATGAATGGAGTTCTTGAAACTGGAACAGGAAAATTCAAACAAGCAGCTGGTGAAAAAGAAGCTGACGTCAGCTTCATGGATAGTTGAAAGACATGATAGACATGATGATTCTCTATTTCCACTTGACAGCTGAGTAACATGAACTTATTTCTGCTGTTTCACAGAATCAACAGGTCAGTATTTTGTCTCATTTGCTAATGTTAGTGATAGCTAGTCACAACTGCTGCACCATTTGATACAGGAACAGGAACATTTAAGCAAGAAGCTGTGAAAAAGAAGCTGAATTCAGCCTCGTAGTTTTAACACTGGTAGTATTTAGGCTATTGAAATGTCCTACCTAGGGGTTTTATTTACAGGCATGCTTATAAAAATGCACTACAGTAGAACATTTGATAAGGTAGCACAACTCGTCAGAGCACCGCCACAACCCGCCATACTACTGTGTAGCTTTAGCTCGCATGTAGCAGTTTTATTATAAAGACTCTTTAACACAGGACAAAACGTATCAGGCTCTGAACATTTTTATTTAATGCAGGGTGTGACAGAGATTTTTCCGAAAACCTGTTCATTCTGGTGTTGTGGCAAAAATATGAATTTGAGCTCTAACGATTCTCTTGTCTTACAAATACAAAGATATATGCTGTTTATAGTATATGAATTTAATGCATAATTAGATATATACAGCATTTAAAAGTTATCATTTATGTTTACTGCTCTGCACTGCTGAACTCATATAATTGTTCAAAATTATTTCGTTTATTTTTTTGACGAAGCAATATGAAAATTGTTCTATTATGTCTAGGTTTTGAAGCAGCTTAGTGTTTTTATGATAGTTATATATATATATATATGTATATATATATATTAATGATAGTTAATTTTCATTGTTATGTTCTATTTAGAAAAACTTTACACATGTATTTTTAAAATCTATAGATGTACATGATTTTTGCTTTGTTCTCAGATCTTTAAAATAAATAAAAGTTTGTCTCAGCTGTGAATTTGTTTTTAAGCTTCAGTTATTCAGTCTTGATCCACAGAAGAGGTTCTGAACTTTTATCATCTCCTCTGAGCGCGGCCTCTTAGCCCTGTTTCTGCTCCCGCCTCAAGCTGCAGTGTTAGAGACCATCAGACAATTACAGGACGAAATGATCAGCGTCAACGTTTCAACAAACTCATATTAAACACACACAAAAACATTAATGTGGGATGAGGTCAAATGGGGAGAGAGTTTAATATAATTTAATAGATGGACTAAATGTAGAGATATTAATGTGGGCCGTTTGCTGTGAAGAGGATCTACAGTGTCTTCATAATGCCACCAGACCTGATGAGCATCTCTGGCCATCATCAATTCACCACATCAAAGCTCATCAGACAGTCTCGGGGAGCTGTTAGCAGCCTGTATTTACTACATTTATTTTGTTTACGTACGGATCAAAAAAAAAAACACAACTAAATACAGTTAAAAATAAACCACGACCACGTTTAAAAGAAAACGAGAGAACAAATTAGAACATCATGATCACAAATAAAAAAAAAACATCCACAAAGTAAAGAAAATGTGTGCACAATTAAAAGAAAACAGGGAACAAATTAAGAAATCTTATTTCTGTTCTGATAGATATTTCATAAAGCAGCAGCAGATTATCTGAAAATATCCTCTTTACTGCTCACTTTCAGTCAAAGCCTTGTTAGTTTCTCTCTCCAGGAACCTGCTCAGAACAGAAGTGATGATCTTTGTCTATGTGAAGCCACCAGAGCCAATATGTGTTTTAATATCTAAATACATTATTACACTTTTGCATCAAATTTATTGCTGATATCATTACAAAAAATGTCTTGCTGCTCTCAGATATTTGGAGACCTTAAATCCATAATAGTAATAATGATAATAATAATAAGAATAATAATAATATGAATTGTACAATTGTATAACAGTACTCACTGTTTTTTTTTACAGACCTACACTTCTGTGAAAAAGTATTTGCCCCTTCCCAATTTCTTCTATTTTTGCATATCTGTCACACTTGAATGTTTCAGATCATCAAACTACTTTTAATATCAGAGAAAGACCCACATAAACACAAAAAAGCTGTTTGTAAATGATGATTTCATTTATTGAAGGAAAAATGCTGTTCAGCCCTACCTGGCCCTATGTGAAAAATTAATTGCCCCCTTAGCTACTACATCAACCAGTTAACCAAATTCAGTTGACTATTTGCTTCAGTTTCACTAACCACACCCAGGCATAATTACTGCCAGACCTGTTGTATCTGAACATCACTTAAATATAACGTGTCTGTCAATGTGAAGCAGATAGAAGGCCTCAAAAAGCAGTACATGATGCCACGTTGTAAAGAGATTCAAATACTGTTGTGAAACAAGTCATTGCAATCTGCCAGTCTGGAAAGGGTTACAAAGCCATTGCTAAAGCTCTGGGACTCCACCGACCCACAGTGAGAGATTATCCACAGACAGAGTAGGTGCAAACCACTGCTGACCAAAAAGAACACAAAGGCTCGTCTCACATTTGCCAAAAAACAAACAGATGACACCCAAGACTTTTGGGATAATATTCTGTGGACTGATGAGTCGAAGGTGGAACTTCTTGGAAGACATGAGTTCTGTTACATCTGGCGTAAAGCTAACACTGCATTCCACCGTAAGAACATCATGCCAACAGTTATACATAGTCATGGTAGCGTGATGGTCTGGGGATGACTTGATTACCTGGATGACTTGAATCCCATTGAGATGCTGTGGCAAGACCTTAAATAAGCACTTCATGTTAAAAACCCTCCAATGTAGCCAAATTAAAACTATTCTGCAAAAAAGAGTGAGCCAGAATTCCTCCACAGTGATGTAAAAGACTCATCGCGAGTTTTTGCAAACGATGGACTGCAGTTGCTACTGCCAACCAGTTATTAGGTTTAGGGGAGTAATTATTTTTTCACATGGGTGATAAAGATTTAAAATTAATTTTTATCTTTAGTAAACAGTCTTTAGTAAACGGAATGATTATTCAAAAGTTGCATTTTGCCTTAGCAAAAATACAAGAAATTGCAAACACAGAGTTAGTTATCATATCTCATGTATGTGGTCTGAACAGAAATCAGAGCCAGTCTTACAAAAAGTCTTAAAAGTGGAGACTCTTGACGAAAGTAGAGTTAACTCTTCTAAGACTTCAATCATAGTGGGAATCAGGAATCTAAACATGCAAAGTGTCTCCTCAGCTTCTCCTGCTTGATCTCGATGCTGTGTTGACTGTTTCTCCACAGATGTAGATCAGAACGTCCATCTCTCTCAGCTTTTCTCCAGGATCCAGAGCTTCTGCATCTTCAGCTCTGAAAGTCCAGCCCACTGAGCTCATAGTGAGTGTTGTGTTGTTTATGTTGGGGGTTTATGGTTTTGGATCTGGCTGTAGGTCTGAGACGGTCATTGTAGGTGTAATAACATCATGTAGTCACTGGATGGCAGCAGTGAGCAAATGCTGTTATTACAGAACATCAGTATGTTGTCAGAACAAGGAGCTCAACTCTTCTGCTCAAACACTCAGTGTGTGAAATGTCCTGTTAGACACTAAACTCAGTAACGATGATTACAAACCTCAGCAGTAATATTACTACACTGGTGGAGAAACACGTCTCTCTTTTGAGTCTTTGTAGAGGAGAGTGGACAGATGTTATGAGGGTCAAATATAATTTAATTCTCATGCTGTTATTTATCACTCAGTGTTCAGTACAATGCTGTGCACTTCAGTACACACACTGCTGTACATACAGCTGTTGTCAGAAGAAAACCTCGGAGAAACCTACAGAAGAATGTATGTCAATGGAACCAGACTTTTTTGTCAATTATTTTAGTCCATTCATCATGAAATTTACATACAGTGTACAGGGCAACAGGCACGGTCAAATTATGCCAAAAACTGAAAAATGCCAAAAATGTATATATATATATATATGTTTATAGTTAATCTTTAGTTAATCTTTTGATTGTAAAGCGTCCTTGAGCATGGGACAGGTGCTATATAAATAAAAATGATGATGATGATTATAGTTCAAATGAATCTTCCATAACTAATCAAATGCATTATTAAAGGTTCAGCTCATTTCTTCATGGTTTATGCCACTGACAACTAATAACCCTCTCAGACAAACAGCCAGCTCTGTTCTCTTCCCCTCCTTGCGGTCACTGCAGTCTTGTAGAAGAGTAGAGGCTGCATAGTGGACCAAACATGAATAAATAACAACTAAAAACAGAATCCAAAAGCTTTGTTTTCGTGTGCTTTCACACTACACTATTCATAGTAATAAGAAATATAGAACAATAAAACAAAAACATCAAATGAGAGAAGATGACACAGAGAAAAACAGAAGCAAATAAGACCAATTAGAATGAATGTGTAAAAGAAAAACAGTACAAATAATACAAAAATGATCATCTTTAAAACAGGGAGACTCCAGTCCTGGAGAACAACAGCACTGCACAGTTTATCACTCTGCCTTTCTTAACACGCCTGATTCAGCTCATCAGCTGATTATAAAGACTTCATTAGTTGAATCTGCAGAGTTAAAGAGGGAAAATGGTAATCTATGCAGAGCTGTGACCCTCCAGGACCTCAATGTGAAACCCCTGCTTAAAACATTTGAATATACAAATGAACTAAATGTTAGACATTTAAATGTCTCCAGCATGCAAACATGGGTTAAAGCATCCCAAGTCTATTTATATTCAATTAGCAGAACTGCCTGATACTGACTTATTTTTGCATAAATCTGTACAACACTGTAAAATATACTTCAGAAAAAAAAAAAAAACTCAGTTACAAATATTACTTTAGGACAGTATGTGGTTTGTTATGACCTCCATAAGCTATTTAATCACAAAACTCCTGTGTGTCTTTAACAGACTGTTCATGCTGCTGAAATCATGGTGGTGAAAACAAAGTCATTTAACAAAGCTGGTAGTTTTCATTCTTCATTTCTGGAGCTCTTCTCTTCTCTCTGTGAGGATGAACAGCCTGAAAAAAATCACATCACAGAAACTATTATATATTCCAACTAGTGAATAAACACACAAACTCACACATTCACACACATGAGAAAGAAACTCTCCCACTGCAGACTTACTGTCAGAGTGTCGTAATCAGAGCTCATGGTTTCAGGGTTTAAGGTTGAGTATGTGTCACTGGGAGAGTCTGTAAGATGCTGAAGACAAAAATTAAAACTTAGACAACTAAACACACTCTGCATGGTAACACACACACACACACACAGGAATAAAGACTGTAGACTTACTTGTAGAGTGTCATGATTTGAGGTCGTGGTGGTGGGCTTCAGAGCTGTGTATGTGTGGTCTGCAGGATCTGGAGTCTTTTAGAGAGATGAGGAGAACAACTTCAGTCTATTCAGTAGCAGCTTTATAGGAGTATGTAGACAGAGAAAGAGTGAAATCCTCTCTCAGTACCTGAATATCTGAGTCTCTCTCTGCTCCTCGCTTCTTCCTGATCACACAAATTACATTAATTGATTGTTAATGCCATTTTAGATTCTTAACATATTCAGAATGGAGTTCTCATTTGAGGCTAAAGTTGAGACCATGGTTAACCTAAAGATAACACATGATTTAGCACACGATACACATACACTTTGTTGTGGTTTAAACCCTAAAAAAGTCTCAGACCCTCATACCTGATCGTTATGCTGTGACTAATACACTAATTCTAAAGCTGTCTTAGTGTAAACATCAGTGTAAAGCAGATTTAAGAAGATGAATAAGGGTTTTGAACAGAACAGGAAAATAAGAGACGACAGAGGTTATTGGTTGTTGTATACGAGCTGGTTTGCATATTACTCACTGTACTGCAATCGAGTGCGATTTCAGTCTAACTAACCAGAGATGTATTTAAAAATAGTGTGTAAATTCATGTAGTTAAAACTGTATCGAGTTATACTTCATGAAATGGAATGTAAACAGGGTCTAAGGCAGCAGTCTCCCAGTAAAAGTTTATCTTGATGTAAAGCCAGTGTGGCACAATTCAAGGTGAGGAAATCTTCAGGGGGGTTAAGACGACCCTAAATTACATATACATCTAACATGTAAAGCCTGAGGTTTCAGATTAGCTACACCATCTAGTGATCAAAATATGAGACTCCTTTCTGGAGGACTGAGAAGAGTGTGAAAGGAGTCTGGAGGGTATGGTGAGGTGCTGTGGTTGGCAATTTTCCTTAAATTAACATACATGTACAGCATTCAGAGCATGTGAAATTTAGTAAAAGTGGTTTCAGGTTCTCACCTCATCCACAGAAAGGCAGCTAACAGTATCAGAAGTACAACCACACCGACTGCAGAGGCTGCATATTTCACTGCTGTGTTATCTGTATCAGTGTGGAGACATCAACATGTTAAAAAGATGGTGAAGAATCACAGAATAATAAAAGTAAGAAGAATCACAGAAGAAAAAGAGGAGGGAGGAAGTGAAAAGAGATGCTGCTGATCAAACAGACTTCCTGATAGTCTTTTTCTTATTCTATCACTGGAAAAGGTAAGGTAATTATTTCAAAGCAGAACATACCTGCTGTAAATATCACATCACTTCCTGTCTTATTGTACCAGGTGTAAGAGCTGGCAGGATTGGAGTCACTGACACACACCAGCGTTACTGAGTCTCCAGATACATGTTCAGATACAGATGGGGGTCTGGGAGGGTCTGAGCAAAACAGAGACTCAACCAGTCACTTCCCAAATAATATGTGCTGCCTGCTTGTATACTGATCCCTTGCTTGTGTTGGATTGGCTGAAATAAAGCTACTGTGCACTTCTGTCCTGCCTCAATGGCCCAAATGTAGAATATGGGCCCTGCTCTGAAACATTACTGATTATAGCAGTTAAAAAATAGCATGCAACAATATGTGGGACTGAAACTATAACAACCTTACATAATACATCCAGGTGTGTGGGTGTTGAGCTGTGCTGTCCTAGCTGGTTGTTAGCAGTGCAGTAGTAGAGTCCACTGTGCTGGGAGCTGATGTTGGTGATGGTGTAATTCTGGCCTGTTGTCAGTGGTGCGTCTGCAGCTGATCTCTGCTTAAACCAGGAGTAGATTAGAACAGGAGGGTTTGCATCACTGCTGCAGCTCAGAGTCACTGAATCTCCCTCCACTCTCTCTCCAGAGGGAATGATCACTGCACTGGTGTTTCTCGGAGAGTCTTCAAAGAAAAGTATATTCTTACACACAGATGGGTTTTTTTGTACTTTCTTGTCTAATTTGGGCCAAACAACCTGAGGCTTTGAAATCACTGGTAGATAACAGAGTGAGTGAAGTTTAAAGTTCTTACAGGCAGCAGGAGAGTGGAGCTCATCATGTCCTTTCACAGCACAGGAGTAGCTGCCCGCATCCACAGTACTGACATACAGATACTGTCCTGTATTGTTTATGGACTGGTCAGACACAGGCTGTCCATTCTTGTACCAGATGTAAGTGAGGTTGTTTGGCAGAATGCAGGTGCTGTAACAATTCAGTTTCTTTCCTCCACTGCCTGTATCTGACACTGTAACCTTCAGATCTGCAGGATATTTCAAACATGTTTGCTGGTAATTTCATCAATAGAATATTCTCACAGTTAATGAAACCTATTTTATGTTATGCAGCTCTACCTGTGACAGACAGAGTGACTCCAGGTTCTCCAGTGTATTCACCTCCATCAGTGTAGAATCTGAATCTGTATGTTTGAGCGTCTCTCTCTCTCAGGTGAGTGATTCTGATACTACAGTCATTCTGGGAGCTCTGTCTGTACTGCACTCGTCCTTGATACTCCTCATCCTCTCTCACATCCACAGGCTCAGCACCAGCCTGCTCTTTAATGAACCACACTGATTTAGTGACCTTCTGATTATCAGGGAAGGTGTAGTAACTGCGGATGTCCACTGATGAGCCAATCAGAGCACAGGTAGCTGTGGGGGAGTAAGTCACACTCCAGCAGCTGTTCTGAGCTGAATCAGCAGAAACACCTGAAACACACAAACTGGGTCATTGAAAACTATGTGATAAACTTAAAACACTTAAATAAATCGCAACCTGTGGTACCAGAACATCAGCAATCGGGTCTGCACCCCTCGCACGCTAACTGCTAACGTTATTGGCACAGTGCATGCTACGATTGTGAAATTTATATTGATATTGAACTATCGTAAAACTTGGAGACATTTGACTTGATTGGCAGAACATTACACTTTCCCCGCAATGCTAAACAGCAGTGCACTGCCATCTCCCCTTATGGTAGAAAATGAGTTTTCACTCTAAAATACAGTCTTTTTCTTCTTGAGCTAAATGAGATATGAATCTAGTATGATTGACAATGGCGTCGTTGTTCTGAACTCCTTCGTGTGACCCAACACCCTGTGATGCCCTTCCTTGTTTTAGCATACTTGTGGGAGCTGCTTTTGGTTTTCTGACTAACGCGTTAATGCACAAAGGGAATTTTAGAGTTATTAGCACTCAGGTAGCTTTTGTATGCATCACTGAAAGAGAAAAACTGGTATGAATCCATATTAGCAGGATCTTTCAAATCTACAAATGTTTGCTTTTATAATTGTTAAACTGGAAGGGTCAGTTTATTACCTAATGAAGCTGCATTGCTGATGGTATATAATACGTAATTTTTTATTTGTTTAATCAGGTACTTCTAAAAGAGAATATATGCTAAAGGTAGTTTAATATTGCACACATAGTTCACAAATTACATAATTGACTATAACTACCATGAGCACTAGGACCTCACAAAACTCAGGAGCACATATACACTATACACATGCACACACAAATATTTCTCACAAGTGTGACTGTGATCTTTTTAATTAATCTCCTCACCCTCATTTGGTGCAGATTACAGGCACTGCTCAATTGTAGGGATTTAATTAAAATGAAATAGCCTGGTCCGCCTGTAAATATAACACAGCTCATTTGAGTAATGAATTCGAAGGTTTAATCAGTGAAACACTTCCCCCTTTGAAAGCCGGTAGAGACTTGCATTTTTTGCAAGCATTATGGAGAACTGTTTTCATTCCACAGGCAATTTCAAGCCAATTTCTATGAGAGCAACTTCAAAATTAACTTACTGATTTGCAGTTTTTCAGAGATGCTGGAATAAAGTTGGGGTTATAGTCAAGGTTTCTGCTGAGTATCACTTACACACTGGAGGAAAGCGCTGCCAGCTGCCATACATCTTACAGAAGTAGCTGCCTTCATCAGATGGACGAGTGATGTCTAGCAGAATACTGGAATCATTTGTATATGCCAGGTATTGTCCATTCCTGTACCAGTAGTAAGAAAGTTCTGCACTGGGTCTGCAGGTGGAGCTACAGGTCACTTTCACCTCTCTGTGTCCTGCAGACTTACGATCCACCTTCACCTGCAAATCTACACACACATCACATCATATAACAGAATTCTGTAAATCACGTTTATACATCTAAAGCCTTACACACACTATATGACATTTAAAGTCCTAACAGGACATGAAAGACTGGGTGTCTTACACTATTCAGCTGGATTTTGCAAACTGTACAACTTGGGATCACACTTGAATTGTTGTGTATTTGTGGGATCTGATGCTTGAATTGTGTATTTGTGGGATCACACTTGAATTGTTGGGTATTTGTGGGATCTGATGTACAAGCACTCAGTTTTGCTTGCGCCTTAAATTCCAAGAATTTTCCACATTTCTGCGCAGTAAAATTGTTTATATATAAAAAAAAGGCAGTCAGAGACGTTTGATGTGAAATACTCTGTTCTAGTGACACTTGCCATGTCACAATAGTTCACAGTAGTGGTGATAGGAACCAAACTTTTACAAAACTTAATGGCTTTAACACCTTCCTCACAGAAATCTATCACATGAAATGGTTAACCATACACTGTCTGATGCCTGAAACATTGTTTTACGATAGTGCTGAAATGGTTTTAGAACTGTAGGAAGAAGCAACAACGAGAAGACATCCTAGTGGCAGCGCAAGGATCTGGCTGGGCCAGTGGAGGATGCGAAGATGCCGTGAAGAACCGGGCTGAGGGGCCAAGAGGAAGAGTGTACTCTTCCAAAGACGGCGAATATGTTTCAATGAAAATGAAAATAATTTGTGGGCCGAATAGGATCGTGCCAAGGACCTGACATGTGTTTGACAAATGGGGCCCAAGGTAAGGCATTGTGATGGTATGGGGAGTTGGTCAGCTCACCTTACGGGGGCATAGGGACCAAGGCTGTGCGGCGGATGAGCCCGAAGAGACGATGTATGAGTGGCCCCTGAACGAGTGATGGCGGGGCAACTGGTGTGCTGGCAGTGCAGGAAGAGAGGACACTGCACCAGTCAATGCTGCAAACCTAAGCCAGCATGGAAACAGACGATAGCCAAGAAGATCGGCTGCCGCTGCAGTCTTTGGGTAACATGCAGTGTGGACAGGAGGCAGCTTACTGCCCTTGTTGACACTGGCATGTCAGTGTTGCTGCTATGGCAGTGCGTGCTCACTCAGACTAAGAGTGGCACACCGGTCAACTGGGAAGCGACAACCTTCCAACTTAAGTCCATCATTGGCAGCCTAGTCGACGTAAGAGAGAGGAAGCGGCTTCTAGTCATGGCAGGGGGCCTGATTGACCTTAGGAAGGAAACACTGGGCCTGGAAATGGGACAAGTGAAGCTGGTTGCTGCAGCTAGCGGTGGAGCTGAGGCAGAACATCAGGGCTCCCTGGTGGTGTGGCCTTGGTTCCCTTTGGGGAAAGCTGCTTAATGGATCTCCAGGGGCAGGGCGCACTGTCAGGTCAAGGGCACCATAGCTTTTTGTGGGTGAAGTCACCAATGCTGGAGGAGCTGAACACGCAACACTAGTACTGGTGGATGGATCACCTAGGGCCATGAGCAGCATACGCATCAGCACTGACGCCACAACAGATGACGGAGAAAGCGAAAGGGGGCCAAGAGGAGTGCCACTGCTGCTGTCGTCACCCCCAGTAGCACCAGCCTTGACACTGTGAGGAGGATGCTGCTGGGCACGGTGCATGCTCAGTGTTGGCATGCAGAGTGCCACATGGATGTGGAGCTTGACATGCATTGCTGTGACCAGTGCATAGCAAAGAAACAATTGCCGCAGCAGTCACACACCCCGCCTAGTCTCTCTGCTCTGGTGCACCGATGGAGGGGACATCCTTTGGGCTGGTGTTCGGGTTGCCCTCCAGGGGCAGAGGAGGACGGCACACCTGGAACAGGGTACGCTGTGGAGCCACTTCGCCAAGGACAGAGCTGTTGGTTGAATTCTTTCAAACTGAGTCGCTGACCAGTGTACACTACTAGATTACATCTAGAGTCATTTGAAAAATAGAAAAAAAAAAAAATCAAACATTTGATATATTCCAGCTGCTCTGAAATTTGATTAGGAGGCAAAAAATGCCTGTGCCCTTCACACACTACTTCATTTTCTCTTCCAGTTGTCGACTCCGGCTGCCCCTAAATCTGCAGACTAGAACCGCCTAGCACAGACTGAGTCAACAAGAGTTGCGTAGTGTAACCCTGGCTTTATTTGAAAGGATCAGTGTGTTTATTTACCTGTAACAGTCAGATTAACTCCAGACGAAGCTGATATCCAGTCACTGTTTGATGTTCTAAATCTGAAGTTATAAACTCCAGAGTCTCTCACTCTCATATTCCACATTGTCAGCTCACAGTCATTCTGCTCTGTTCTTACAGAAACTCGTGCTGAGTATTGAGGATCTTTACTCAGGACTCGTTCTTCTCCATCAGAGCTCTGGAGCTGATACCACTCTCTCTCTCTGACTCTGGAGGAATCAGCTGTTTTATATTTACAGGAGATTTTTACTGTAGATCCAGTAACAGCACAGAGACTCTGAGAGGAGAGAGTTACACTGTGCTGAGCCTGAACTCCTGAAACACACACACACACACACACATACACCAGGAGCAAAAGTTAGATGTGAAGGGGAAACTCTCACAGTCTAAATGACAGAGTGACCACAGTGTGAATTGCTGCTGTTGCTATGAGCAACATGTGTGAAGTTGGCTGGTGGTGTTAAAAACCACAGAGGAAGTGACCTTAGTTTAAAATATTCAATATGAAATATTTTAAGAAAGACACAGACCTCAGTCTGAAGTCTTAAAGAAAAAAAAACACAAAACAGTTTAAAGTAGTTTTGGTGGAGATTTGTACAGTTTAGAATGCACAGTTAGAGAAGATCTCTAATAACAATATAAAAAGCTGTAGTTCTTAATAGCTTTCCACCTATGCAGGTGGGCGTTGAGTTCTACTTCAGTTTTACTTCAGTGTACTTCCCCTAAATTATACTGCCACCCCCCAAAGAAGGTCCAGCTTTAGTGTCCTCAATGTGTCCATCATCTCTGCTCAAACTCGCTCTCTAAATTTGGCAGTTCACTGCTGAACCGTGTGTGTTTTACCAGAAAAACTGAAACCTCTGGATTGAATATTGCTGATCTAGTTTCTAAAATGAAAATAAAAAAGACTAACAAAAATAACTGGACATGCTGAATGACCTTTCTAGCTTATACACTTTCAAATTTACACAACTTGTATAAATGTGAAAGTTTACCTGTCAGTAATATGAGGGTCACTGCTGCTGTGATATTTCCTGATGTTCTGGTAGACATGACAGTTTACCCTTCAAACACCGCTGATTCTTAAAGGTCTAAAAAATAACAGATTTAGGCTAAATTTGAGTGATAAAATGAACAAATTCTGCCTAAAATAACAGACCAAGCAGGTCACTCTTATAAGTAGTGAGTGCGTTGATCACTACTCAGCTCACTCTTACTTGCTTTACACTTGCGAACAAGCAGAGACAGGGCAGGTGTGTTTGTGCATTCTGTCATTACTCCTCCCTCTTGTAGCTTACCAGTCTCTTTTCAAGACCACAAGAAGGAGGGCCATCCTGCCCACCTAGAGAGAGCAAGGCTAACTGTGCTGTCTTTCCACTGATGGCTGTAACATCACTGCATCATCTATTATTCCAAGCAGTGTGTTTGTATTTTAGGTCTCTGTTTCCAGTTAAAGGCCTTGAGCTCTGGTCAGTCAGGTATGAGGTTGGTCAGACTGACTTGTGATGGAAAGGGTTTTACTTCCCTAACAACCAGAACCTGAGAAAATGATGGTAATCTTTGCTCATCATGGTTTCCTCATAACCCTACAGTTTCTCCCTCAGAGTGTGAAGCTGTGATGCTCTGTATGATATCTTTGCTTTATAGGGTTTTTCTTCTATCTTCAGCAGAGTCTTCACTGCTCTCACTGTGTTCTCCCCTCCTCTTTCACTTCTAGGGAACATACAAGCACATGCATACATAATTTGCTTGTTTACTCACTTTTGTTACGTCTCAAACAAGTTGACTCTCTAAATGCACACCACCTCACAGACTAGCAACTAACATTAACCTAAACATTTACAATACCTATTTCAGATTTTTAATTGATTAAAAAATGAATATATCATGTTGCAGACTGTGAAGGATCTGTTTGAAAAATCATGGATGAGAGTAAATTGGATCTTTCTCTGAGTGTACGACTGTGTCAGTATCTACACCAATCAGGCATAAGATTATGACCTCCTCCTTGTTTCTACGCTCATTGTCCATTTTGGAGCTGATAAAACGGACAATGAGCGTAGAAACAAGGAGGTGGTCATAATGTTATGCCTGATTGGTGTATAAGTACCCAGTACATATTGCTTCCCTTCCTCCAGTATTTATGTCACTGTCTGAAAGACATTAGTGACCTCGTGCTGCTATGCTAGTAAAGGTAGTGAAGCTGTTAAGAGTATTTTTGGGGCACTGCTTCTATAGCAGTACAATAGCTCAGTCCTTCATCTGTTTGTGTAACTGGACAAAACAACGAATGCAGCGCCCCTGCTATAGGACACTATGTATTATTTCTACACTAATGCACAGAGAACTTTATATTTAAATAACTGGTCATAAAACACAAAGGCAAGCACATGAGAGGGGAGCTTACCTCATCAGTCAGTTGAGTATATGTTTAGAATCATGACACTTAGCCCACTTTATACTCTCAACCACAAGGCCAAACACAGAGTGCTTGCAGTGACAATTTAGCTGAAGCTGCAAAGCGATCATGAATCCTGAAAATGATTAGTGTTGTTTTAAGATCCTGAGTCCTAAAAAAACTCATTGACTTATGCTTTAAAATCTGGACAAACAGATTCACAGCATCTAGAAATTTAATCTACAATCTGTCTTCCACACATGGTGTTTAAATCAGTCTCATCTGTGATTCTCTCTCTCATAACAAGTGTGGAGAGTTTAAACAGCTTCTATGAGAACATTAGAAGTGAACTGGCTTTTCAATACATTTCTGTAAACAGATAAGGTCATCTCACTTTGACACAATGAAGGAAGATAAGCTCCTCCCACTACTGTGTATCTAATTTTCCTGCTGCATATCCTGTGTTTCAGCAATGCATTGTGGATCTTGTAGTTTCAGTACATTATACACATAAATGCTTCATTTCTAATAAAATATGGTTTGCATTTTAAATTCTCTCATGATATAAGAATATGGTAGATGTTGGTGTGTAATACTGATCTACAGGGGTCTGTATGTTTGCGTTTATCACAGTATCAGCCTCTTTACGTTCCCTTGTTTCTGTAAATGGTTGCCTTATAGTGCTGCAGCAGTGAATTGCATGAATTAAATCATATGTTTTTGCTTAATTTCTTTCATAGAAATCAATGATATGACCTGATAGGCCCTAGAAGAGTTGGTGTGGTATGACCCAAATGTAAACTTTAAAGGGCAATTCCACCAATTTTTCAGCATGAAATTTCTTACCCATGTTAAGATCTGTCAAGATCAATACAAGATTTTCTGCAAATTCATCAGAAGCAAATCTAATCTTAAATTAAAAAACATATCTTACATTTGATCTGATTTCAGGTTTGGAAATTTTATACTACTCGATTGAGGTCGATAATCGATTGTTATGTCTGTTACCAAGCACCTGACCATGCGTGCACAGTTGGAACATAAACTTGTGATCATAATAATGTTAAAACTGTAAGCTAGTAAGTAAGACAGCTGCCATCACTGACATCAAAATGTCAAAACAAAACTAAAATGTCATAAACTGGCAGTTTAGAATGTTGTGACCGCGCCCCCTGCTGTTTATCAGAGCATCGCCATTCCCCAGTTTCAGTTTCAATTTCTTAAAGCTTTAGCTTGCTGTGCTAACATTATTCCTGCAGACACAAGTTCATCTCAGTCTTCCCATCATACACCACCCTCACAA